ACTTTTAAAATAAACATGACAACAGAGAGAGAGAGAGAGAGAGAGAGAGAGAGAGAGAGAGATGAAGCAGCAATCATAAGCAGAAACAATCGCCTAATATATCGCTAATTCAACTTTGTAAGAAAATTCAAAGTCTCTCTATCCTTGTTTTCCTAATTTTTCTTCATCAACTTCATTTCTTTATGTTAAATATTGTACTTTTTTTTTAATTTTCAAAATTTTGCAAACGAATTTGATGCTCCATTATAATATGCAGAGGCGATCGAACCTATGAATTAATTTTCCTCTTTTGAACGTCTCTTTTGCCTGAAGAAATTTTTTCTTTTTTCTAAGGTAAATGCTTTAGCAGGCAAATCTCTATTAAGCTGGAGCCATTTTGAAATTTGAATTTTGAATAGTATTATGTGATTTTGGTTTTTGTATAATTGTAAGATTGTGTTATTTTTTTGTAGCTTCCATTGACAAGAATGATGTCGAAATTGGATTCTAAGAAGAAAATTGGTGCAAATTCTGGAAATGAGAAATTGTTAAATGATATTGAAGCTATCAATAAAGCTCTTTATTTGGATAAAACCTATTTATTGGATTCAAAGTCGAAGAATAAAGGAAATAGTAAAGATTCAATAGAGAAGGAGAGTAAGAAATCCATTTGGAGTTGGAAAGGCTTAAAATCTCTGGCTGTTAGAAACAAGAAGTTTAATTGTTGTTTTTCAGTTCAAGTCCATTGCATTGAAGGACTATCAACATTGTTTGATGATCTTTGTCTTGTTGTGCATTGGAAGAGGAGAGATGGCGAGTTGACGACTCGTCCAGTTGTGGTTTCTCAAGGGGTAGCTGAGTTTGAGGAACAGTTGACTCATACTTGTTCTATATCTGGTAGCAAGAATGGCCCCAATCAATCAGCAAAGTACGAGGCGAAACATTTCTTGTTGTATGCTTCGATATATGGTACTCCCGAGCTTGATTTGGGGAAGCATCGGGTTGATCTTACCAGGTTGCTTCCTCTTTCATTGGATGAATTGGAGGAGAATAGCTCGGGCAAGTGGACGACTAGTTTCAGGTTAGCAGGTAAGGCTAAAGGAGCAATCTTGTATGTCAGTTTTGAGTATCACATAGTTGGGAACACTTTCATGGTTCTTCCCAGTAACAGGGTTCTTCTCGAGGGGAGGAACTTGAGGCGCAATAGTGAAAATGCAGCAAAACTTTTGGAACAATGTGAGCAATGTGATGAGCTGAGTACAATAAGACGAACGGGAAGCCTTCCTGCTCGATCTTCTACTTCACAGAGTTCCGCAGAGAATATAAAAGATCTTCATGAGGTTTTACCAGTTCCGTCATCTGAGGTCTCCATAGCTGTAAATGTGCTGTATCAGAAACTCGAGGAAGAGAAAGTGGAGGCTTCAGTTGATTGCAAACCACAGATTGATGTCTTCTGTAATGATGTTGAGACCCTCAAACCTGACTTAGCCTTGTTATCAGAGCACGAGAAGGAAAATGTTGAAAATGTGAGTGGCGTAAGTGAGGTTTCTATCAGAGAGCAAGGTGTAGAAGTTGCCTCAAACGAATGGGAGCGAAAAGAAGAAGATACTGGTGATAGTCCTTTGGAAGAGAATGTTGAACCGGATAATAGTCTTGGGATGTCACATGAAGAGGAGCCACAGCTTGCACCGTTGGCCAAGGAAGTTGACACTGAGAATGAAGACGTTTCAGTGAGTGCCTGCAATTTTGCGACAGATGAATCTGCGAAAGAGTCAATCATGAAAGAAGTGGAGTCTGCATTAAAGCGTGTCTCGGACTTGGCAAATGAGGGATTAGATTCTCAAGAAGATGAAAATGAAGCTATAAATCATGACGGAGACTTGGACGAATCCATAAGCTTGGATTATGTCGCTGAATCTGTGGCTAGTGATTTTCTGGATATGCTAGGGATAGAGCATAATCCATTTGCCCCAAGTTCTGAAAGCGAGCCTGATTCCCCAAGAGAACGACTGCTGAGGCAATTTGAGAAGGACACTCTGGCGAGTGGGTGTTCCTTGTTTAACCTTGATATAGATATTGATCAACAAGAATTTGCTTGTGATGATCCAAGTGGACTTGATTGGAGGAGCATACCCAAGGATTTTGACTATTCATCTAATGTGGAGATGCCCAAGATAGAAATCGAAGCAACTAATAACAAAACAAGGGCCACCATGTTGGAGGACTTGGAGACAGAGGCTTTGATGCGTGAATGGGGCTTGAACGAGAGGGCGTTTCAATATTCCCCTCCTAAGAGCTCAAGCGGATTTGGGAGCCCAATTGATGCTCCTCTTGAGGAAGACCCTTACCAATTGCCTCCTCTCGCAGAAGGCTTAGGACCCTTTGTTAAGACTAAAAATGGAGGATTGTTAAGGTCAATGAACCCTGCACTTTTCAAGAATTCCAAGAGTGGAGGGAGTTTGATAATGCAGGTATCAAGTCCAGTGGTGGTTCCTGCAGAAATGGGATCTGGTATAATGGACATACTGCAGCATTTAGCCTCCATTGGAATTGAAAAGCTCTCTATGCAAGCAAGTAAACTTATGCCTTTGGAAGATATTACTGGGCAGACAATGCAACATATAGCCTGGGAAACTGCACCAAGCTTAGACGGAATTGTGAGGTTTGATTTTTTTTCCTTTCACATTTTGTTTTATATTTGAAAATGCACATATCTAGCACACACTATTTGTATTAAGAAGTCGTCTTATAAGACTCTTACCTACTGCAGACAAGATCTGTTGCAGCATGAATTTGAGTTTGGACAAAATATGGCTGGTTCTCAAAGTAAAAAGGGTAAATTGCACAGACCAAAGTCCAGTAAGTTGGAGTCAAATTCTGTTGGCGCGGACAGGAACTCAGAATATGTATCATTAGAGGACCTCGCTCCTTTGGCGATGGATAAAATTGAAGCCCTTTCAATTGAGGGTTTGAGAATACAGTCAGGCATGTCAGATGAGGACGCGCCTTCTAACTTAAGCCTGCAATCCATTGGTGAGTTTTCAGCCATTGAGGGAAAGAAGGTCAACTTTGGAGGAGCTGTAGGTTTGGGAGGAACAGGTGGATTGCGGCTACTGGATGTTAAAGACAACGGTGGTGGTGACGTTGACGGGCTTATGGGCTTATCTCTCACACTTGAAGAATGGATGAGGTTGGACTCGGGAGAAATTGATGATGCAGATGAAATCAGCGAGCGTACCTCCAAACTGCTCGCAGCCCATCATGCTACGTGCACTGACTTGTTTCGTGGCAAGTCAAAGGGAGAGAAGAGACGTGGCAAGGGTAAGAAGTGTGGATTGTTGGGAAACAACTTCACGGTGGCACTAATGGTGCAGCTTCGTGATCCTTTAAGGAACTATGAGCCAGTTGGTACACCTATGCTTGCTCTTGTTCAGGTGGAGAGAGTGTTTGTAACACCTAAACCTAAGATATACAGCACAGTTTCTGAAGTTAGTAACAGCAATGAAGACGACGATGATGATGAATACAAGCCTCCCAAAACGGACTCTGTTGCAGAGGTCAAAGAAGTTAACATTCCTGAGGAAGAACAAATTCCTCAGTACAAAATCACTGAAGTGCATGTTGCTGGTTTAAAGACAGAGAAAGGTAAAAGGAAATTATGGGGTTCGTCAACTCAACAACAGTCTGGATCTCGTTGGTTGCTCGCGAATGGAATGGGAAAGAAGAATAAGCATCCATTACTGAAGTCTAAAGCTAGTAATAAATCTTCTACACCAGCTGCTGCTCTAGCATCTACTACTACTACTACTACGACTACAGTGCAGCCTGGTGAAACATTATGGAGTATTTCTTCACGGGTCCATGGTACAGGGGCTAAATGGAAGGAATTAGCTGCATTAAATCCACATATTAGAAATCCAAATGTTATTTTTCCTAATGAAAAAATTAGATTGAGGTAGCAGTGTTGTAGAACATGATTTTTTATTTATATGATTGAAATTTTTCCTCCCTTCCCATGAAAAAAAGCATGGTATACAGTGCAGCTGAATACATATTGAACATCCAGAAATGGGTTGAATATATTAAAGGCAGCTCCAGGAATTGATAGGAAATATCTTACCTTTTTTAGTAAGTCAGATGATAAAAAGGAAAAAAGAGGAAATATATTTTCTTGGTGCTTCCTAATCATAAGATATATTTCCTCTTTCTGTATTCTTTTCAGGTGGCTTCTTAGTTTCAATTGAACTGGTTAGTGTACTTCAATTTCGACAACCACAATAGAAAAGGTCTATTCACGACATTGTTTTTTCAACTGCAATTGATGATTCTTTTCTAAGCGAGAGTAGTGGTGTGTATACATCGACAACAATAAACCCAGTGAAATGAGGGTAGTGTATACACAGACCTTACTCCTACCCAAGGAAGATAACGAGAGTAGTGGTGTATATCTAGGACAGAAAACAAAGCATAGATGAAATGATGGATACTCATGCTAATGGTCAAAGATGCTAAAGAAGGTTTCACTAAGAAACCTTAATGGGGGAAACAACAGGTTTAGGTATCATAAGTACAAAACATGTAAGATAAAGCAGAAAATAATATCTGTTCAATATATGAAGCTGACTATGAGACCAGCACAGGTATCTCATACTTCCCACAGCGCCCGCTAAGTTCATAACTCAATCTTTATTGGAATGTTTTATTCACCCAATCAATAACTTGTCAACTAGATCGCAAGATGTAACCATAACAACAGCAAACAACAAACAAACCTAGTGTAATCCCGTAAATGGGGTATGGGGAGGGTAATGTGTACGCAGCCTTAACCCTACCTTGTGAAGATAGAGAGACTGTTTCCGATAGACCCTTGGTTCAGGTGAAGCACAAGCTGTAACCATGAAGAGGCATATTGCTCATGGCAGTCATTTCTAAAACACATCATCAATTATTTGAGTTCAAAATCAATAAGCATATATCTTATGATCAAACAAGGAGAACCCATGTAATTGAAAAACAGAAACTATAGCTGCAACAACATACTGCACATGAACTGTATTAGTTAGCATTGATACTGAAAGATGCATCCCATAAGATTAAAATCCCTAAATATCCAATAGTTTAGAGTTGAATAGAAGAGTGCCTTAAGAGGACTAAACTAGTAAAAAGCATCCTGATAAACAAAGGTTAGAGACCAGAACTCCGAATACACATGCCTTGCTGATATGTGCAGAGAGCTGAGTTCTACATGAACAATTACAAGTTGTGGAACTCGCACACATCCTACAGAATGTCAGGGGCGTGACCTCTTGTTGCTGCATGAAGGGCATTTGTACTGCTTTATATGCTCAGCCCTCGCCGGGGTGATCTTCACACACTTGCCATGGAACCACCTCTCACATATGTCACAGCAAATCCAGAATTCATCTGAAGCATAGTTTTCACCGCATGCACCGCACAGAGTATCACCATGCTCCTCGTCTTCTTCCTCATCGAATCCGTCATCCTCATCTTTTACATGGGTCTTTGAGTATTTACCCTGAGATTTAAAATAAATAAATAAAAAATCGATCTCTAGTGGTAAGATGCCGGGCCATGCATGGAGAAAGCCAACGAAGCATGGATCTATAACTAAGATGTCATCACATCAGAGGCATAATGATACAGGTTACATGTGGCAGGATACTGAATTTAGTCTAAGAGGAGCATGGCCTAGTGCATTGAGCAGAGCCATAGTGATAGTGTACCGAGACCAGAAGACAGAACTTAGCACAAGCAACTTCAACAAGGCACACATTCATTTTTTACGAAGAGAAGGCTAATGGAGCCTTTTCAAGCAGTTTGACTGAATTTGCCGAACATAGGATAGAGAAATATACAGTGTAAGAATGTAGCACAATGCAAATGCCAAAATCGCAAACTGGTTTTAGATTAAGAACCTACTATGCAAAAGGTCAGTTCTCAAGCAGCTGCAAGAGTTGAGGTAGACATAAGATACATTGGAAGAGATTACATGAGAGAAATTCAAAGAAGAAAGAAACAACACTAAAGTTCATTAGGAGTATCATCCTTTACCTCACACTGTACCTCTTTCGAAAAACTCCAGCATTGTCTTTACCCTAATCACCCAAAAGCCTCTTCTAACAAACTTAAGCATAAAACGCAACTGTAATTACTTTAATTCAAAGCACTTTAACTGACTACTAAGCATTCCTCAAACCAGAAGTGGGCAACCACTTCCAGACCTGCCCAGAATTGTATAAACCAAAGTCTATTCTGTTTCTAAATCAAACACCAAGGTAAACAATTCTACAAGAATATGATAAATCAACAATATATCAACTTACGAGGCCAGTTTTAACTCCTAAATACTATAACAGGCAAGAAAGATGGATTTTCCTCTGTAGTAGAAAATTGGACAAATGCTTGACCAGTTTCCAGCTTCATACCTCTCAATGTTACTAAAATGGCATGACAATAGCAAGCTAGTCACTAGGACATCACTAATATATGCTACTTACTACCCTCGAGAGTCATCACAGACATTAATTGTTCAAAACTGTGTGGATGCTGGAAAAAAGAACCATGGCTCAAATCACAGAAGACCTATTTGCTCATCAGTGGACTATATCTTTCGTCCACAACCATAAACTTCAAGGCAAGTATTCACTGGCAATGTCCTAAGCTGAAGGATTTTCAATTAAACACTGTCCAAAGAATCGTTGTAAAGAGCATTGCAGAACTACTGTTATCCAAGAAGAGCATCTTTTGGGGGTAAGGGAGAAGTATGGGGGGTAGAAGAGGTTTCCAACCATACCGCTTTAGAATTTGACTTCGACTTGTTGCTGCTGTGATTTGAAATTGTTGATCTATCCTTTACTTGCTTCTTGGCCACTCCAGTAACAACTTCATATATTGTTGGCAGATCATTTATCATGTTGAATAGACGTTTCCTAGATTAAAGAAATCACAAAGATTTAGCGAAGAGCTGAAACTTTTCATACTAAGTAGACTACTGCACCAAAGAAGTAAACTGTTTTTTTTCATTACAAGTACACAGATGTCTCCTGGGACTATTCTCCTCCAAGATTTGACATCCGATAAGGTGTTACTATAATTTATAAGCATACTTCCAGAATGCTTTACAAAGTGACACTGTTTAGTTAACAGAAAAACATAGGCTTTTTACGCTGTTCACAACTATTTATGATTTGAAGCAAACTAATTATGGCAAGGAGAGGTAACTGGAAAGCTGACATTTGAACAAAAGAAACAAAGCTGATATCATTAAAAAGAAAATATAAACAAGTAATTCACTTGAAAGGTGCCTACAAAAACAGCAAACTAGAAGGAAAGTACAAACCAAGTAACTGTTTTATTAAAGGTTGTCATAGAATAGTTTACCTGTCGGTTTTATCAAAGCCAAATCTGGCGCCAAAATAGAAGGCAACAGATAGTAGCCATGCATCACTATGGACAGCAACTAGAGCCAACCAGTCCTTTTCTTGCATCCCATCTCTAGCAAAGTTTATACCTAATGCTGGCTCTGGCAGCTCGGGAGGCACTTCCTCAGCAGGCAAATTGACTTCCCACTGCTCGCTTGGAAATCCATAAAGGCAGAGATTTTCCTTTTCTGCAAGGTTTCCAAGATAGAAAAAATGTGAAACTTTTGAGAAGAAAAGAAGTTGCATGATCTAATCTCAATCATAAAAACACTTGTTCAATAAGAAACGGGGTCTTATGCAAGAAAGGCAGAACAAAACATTCGATCGCCCATATCTTTATTATGCAAAATGCATTTTAGGCTCTAAATCAGGCACTAACTTCAAAAAAAAAAAATCATTAAAAAATTTGTTAAATTTGATCAAGAAAAACTACGAGAGTTTACTGAAACCATAAATTAGACTACATAAAATGAACAATTTGAAACTTAAGTCGATAACAAGCTGTACAGTAAACAAAAAGTTATCCAACAGAAAATAAGCCAAAAATGAAGCCCATATATGAAGTTGGACCAATATCTTCCAACCTATGTAAACTTCAAAAATGAAGAGATTGATTGCTAAGTCAAGCCGTGAGGGACAACTGGTATTAAGCAGAAACACTGTGGTTATCATTCACATCATCTCCTGGTGAAGACCAACCAACCAGTACATGGCAATTCCAAAGTGGGCAAAAAGCTTACTCAGTGCTCTAAAATAAGAGATTTTCCTCACAATAAGTTCACATTGCACACAAACTCAGAGACAAAAATGCTCTTGAAGTAATATGGATACCTCTAGAAGCAAGCAGCAAATACCATATCAAACTCTAAAATCTTGATATTAACCAGTAAAAAACTTTTTACTCAGTTAAAACACAGTAAGACACATACCATATATACTAGTAATTGAAAAGAGAAAAGAGCAATAAAGTTCTTCTTCTTCTTCTGTCTTTAGACCCAATACCCAGACTCCCGAAATAGCAGAATAATAATGCCTTTTAATATGTCAAATAAAAATGTCTCGTTGGGGTCAGCATCACAAACAGTAGAAATTTACTAATCTGAACAATCTAACAAATGAACAGCACATGTTTCCACATGTTCACTCTTCGTAAAAGCAATTACTATTAGTACTAAAAAAGAGCAGGCCAAAATGACATTAGAACCCAAAACCCACCAAAATTCAAAAGTAAATAAAACTAAGTACAATCACACAAAGCAAAAATAAACCCGACGGACGACAATCGCCGATCGCGTACACGATTTTTTACAGGAAAAAAAAATGTGCATAACAAAGAACGTAAAAAGATCCATAACTAACCCGGGTCACACTGCTGATAAAATTCCTCAACATCTGCAAAAGCAACAAAAAAAATGATCAGAATGTAGCACATCTCAAAAACAAAACAAAAAAGGCTCAATAATTAGAGCATAAAAACAAACAAACAAACAAAGCTAGAAGAATGTGTGTAAGTCCAAATAGTTGTACATTACCAGTGGTAAGGGCTTTGATCATGCCAGCTCGACGGCCTTTAAAATCCCTAAAAACTTCCTCTACGGTGCGGGGATTGTACTGTGCGCCTCCCTCCATTGACACACACTGCTCACTCGACTGTTACTTTGCTCTGTTTCAGTTCCGGTATTTTCAAGAACTTTTTAAGCACGAAAAGAATATAAAGGTGGTAGTACTAAGAAAGGAAGAAGGGTATTCTCGTAATATTACTGAATTTGGAGGGTCATTTTGGTAAAAAAAAACAAAAACTCTGCGAAGGTACAACAGGTGGTAAATGAACCGAAGTGGAAATGGAAACAGAGACAAATTTGAATGAGGAATTCTTGTATGGCTGTTGCACTTCTGCTGACGTGGAGCAATTTTATTGGCGGACGTGAGGATTCAATAGTTTAAATGGAATTCAGTTACGTAAGGATAAGGAAAGGAAGGGCAAAAGAGAAATGTTAATGTAAACAATGGGGTAAGTTTAATCAGGTCAGTTATCAAATTTACTATATTACAGTTAAGTTTAGTGTTTATCATGAAAATTTACATATGATTATTTTAGAAGGAACTTAATTGTACATCTTTTACATTGTCAAAACTAGGGGTGTCAATGGTTCGGTTCGGCCAGTTATTTTATATATTTGTACGATACTAATTTTTCAATTATTCTTTTATGTATAAGCAAAATTAGACATTTCGAAACCGTCTCAATCATGTCGGTTTCTTTTCGGTATCGGTATCGGTACGGTTCGGCTAATTTTTGGTATTTTTTTAAATATCATATAAAATTCACCAGTAGAAGTAGAATGCAATAACATACTTTCTTTTATAGGACGTAGCAAAACTCTCTAGATATTTTCACTGTTTAACAGTTTGTTTGGATGGTTGTTCCCCATTGTATCGTATTGTATTGTTATCCCAAAACAATGTTTGTTTTGATTGTTTCATTAAAATTGGTTGTATTGTATTATTAAATCCATTGTTCCGGAACAATGAAAAGTCTCCTTTTTTGAAACAACCGATTTGGTGTGGTGAGATTGTTTCCTATTTTCTTTCCAATTATGCCCTAACCTATTACTCCACAATTATATTTTTTCCTTTAGCTTTTTTTTTTGCTATTTTAACTCCAAATCTCCAACCTATTACCTACTTTATTTTTTTCTAGAACTTCTGCCGCCAACGTTAAAGGTGTTTTGCCGCCTTCTGTTTTATTTTTTCTGCTAATTTGCTTTTAACTCAATTCTAATTAGCTGTGCTCCTTTGTTTTGCCTTCTTCTGTCTCACTCCTTTGTTTTGCTTTCTTAAGGTGTTTTGCCTTCTCCTGTTTTATTTTTTTAAAATTATTTTTATGCATAATTTTTAATAAATTTAATATTTAAACAATTGAGGGTATTTTAGTAAACTTATCTGTTACGGTACAGTACGATACAGTCAAACCAAATAGCAAAATATTATTTAACAATAAAAAATAATACAATCTATCCAAACATTATATTCACAAAACGATACGATACGAACAATACAATACATTATAAAACGATGGGGAAGAATGATCCTAACAGAGTGTAAAGGGTTATGAATTAAAAAAAAATGAAAGATGGCTAGAGTATAGATCCATCAACTATTCTACAACAACGTAAAAGAAACCAAGCTAAGGCAAAGAAAATATAAATCACACGAATGGAAAGACATTAACCAAGTTGGGACTCAAGAATAAAGTCTATTGAAGATTAAATATTCAAAAAGATAAATCTAAATTATACGAAAAGAAACATATTCAATACATTGTAGTTTGCTGCTCATAATCGCTAGAAAACTTTGTGTCTTGCTATTAAAGATACTTGAAATGTGACGACCCAAAGGGTCATCACCTATTTTCTTACCCATTTTGTGCTTCCGAGGCCTTGAAAACCTCATTTAGGGTTGCCTCGATTTGCGTGCGCAGTCCGGGCGCATAGCCGGAAAGCTTAAATATGAATTCTGTGAGAAAATGCTAAATTTTGATATTAAATTGAATAGATTTGACTTCGGTCAATATTTTGGGTAAACGGACCCGGACCCGTGATTTGACGGTCCCGGAGGGTCCGTAGGAAAATATGGGACTTGGGCTTATGCCCGGAATCGAATTCCGAGGTCCCAAGCCCGAGAAATAAATTTTTATGTGAAATTATTTTCTGGAAATAATTAAGGAAATTGGAAATGAAATTTGATTAAAAGAATATGGTATCGGGCCCGTATTTTGGTTCCGGCGCCCTGTACGAGTCTTATATATGGTTTAAGCGCTTTCTGCAAAGTTTGGTTGAAAACGGACGTCGTTTGACGTGTTTCGGACTTAAAACTCTGAATTTGAAAGTTTATGAAGTTTGAAGACAAACTAGTGATTCTGAGGTTTGATTCATTGGTTTTGATATTATTTTGGCGATTTGATCGCACGGTTAAGTTCGTAGGATGTTGTTGAGTTAGTGTATGTGTTTGGTTAGGAGCCCCGAGGGCTCGGGAGTGTTTCGGAGGTGTTTCGGGGTGGTTTCAAACTTAGGAAAGTTGCAGAAATTCTTCAGCTGTTGCAGACCCAGTTCCTTCTTCGCGTTCGCGACGCCTCCTTCGCGTTCGCGAAGCTCTCACTTTTCCCTTCATCGCGTTCGCGCTCCTGACTCGCGTTCGCGTAGAGTCATTTGACTCCGAAGACTTAGCCTTCATTTTCCTAATCGCGTTCGCATTGATTCTCTCGCGTTCGCATAGTTTGTAGGGCTCCTTCATCGCGTTCGCGTAGACCAAGTACTGGACCCCCAACTTTTCCTCTTCGCGTTCGCACTCCTCCCATCGCGAACGCGATGGTCTGATAAGTTACCCTTCGCGAACGCGATCCCCTTTCCGCGAACGCGAAGGGCAATTTTTGCCCAGTTATATTTTAATTTCCAGAATCAGTGTATTGCGGGATTGTCATTAAAACACACGAGCTCCTTCTTCTCCAAGGTCATTAGGCGTCCATTGAAGCTCCCTTTCACCAAAACTTCTTGGGTTAGTAAATCTTAACTCGTTTTCTTCATTTTTCATCAATATTTGTTGAACTCCTAAGCCTAAAACATGTAATTTAGGGTAGAAATTGGGGGAAATGGGTAGAGTTAGGGCTTTTCACTTTTTCTTGATTTAGACCTCGTTTTGGGGTCGAATTTGAGAACAAATTATATATTCGGGCTCGTGGGAGAATGGGGAATTTGATTTTGGTTCGAACCTCGGGTTTTGACCACGTGGGCCCGAGGGCGATTTTTGACTTTTTGGGTAAAACTTTGGAAAACTCATTTTCATGCATTGGGGTTGATTCATTTAGCACTTATTAATGTAATTAAGTAATTTGTGATTAGATACGAGCGAATTGGCGGTGGAATCAACGGGTAAAGCTATAATTGAGACTTAAGTTGTGTTCAAGGCATCGATGTAAGTGTTTGGTCTAACCTTAGCTTGAGGGATTAGGAGTTAAGTCTTATTTGCTATGTGATAATTGTTGAGTACGACGTATAGGCATGGTGACGAGTATCTATACGTTGGTGTCAAGTATGACCGTGAGTCTTATATTGTGATTTTCGTGATTTCGTTGTATTCTTCATGCTTTGGTGATGATTTCTAGTTGTTGTAAAAAGTTTGTGGAAGGAATTGAGACCTCTGAACATTTTGGAGCATCGGCTCGAGTTATATTATGAATTGTGAAAGTATATGAGATGATTGAACCCTTTGGAGCATTGACTCAAGTGGTAAAGTGAGTTATCAAGTACAAGTGAAAGATAGAGAAAGAGTTATTGAAATGTTCCCTTGCCGGGATTGAATTATTTAATTGTTGTTCCCTTGCCGGGATTTAATTGTTAAATCGTTGTTCCCTTGCCGGGATTCCTATATGTTCTTGTTTATTTCCCTTGCCCTTGTTTGTGATTGTTGTTTGGGTGAGGAAGAGTGTAAAAGCACGAAGGGTGATGCCGTGCACATTTTATTATTCTAATTGCTTTGGTGAGTAAAGAGAGTAAAAGCACGAAGTGTGATGCCGTGCACGTTTTCATTATATTATTGCTTGGTGAGGACAAGAGTAAAAGCACGAAGGGTGATGCCGTGCACTTGTCTTTGATTTTCCTGATTTTTGCTGATAATTGAGTTATGTTGTCCTTTACTTCTATTTATTGATTTTCTTGTTGTTATCAGTTCAAGTGCATTAATTGTCTTATTCCACTATTACTGTGATTCTTTATGTTGGCATTTTTCTTTATTGTGTTACTTGTTATTATTGGCTCGATGTATCCTTGCGCAATATTATGCCTTGAATTTATGCTATAATTGCTTCATGTTTATGTGACTTAATTGCTACTTGACATTTAGCATACTAAATATTAAATTGCCTATTTGCTCCTTAAAGTCCATAATTAATTGCTACTTGTCATTACTTGTTTTCCTCAGTGAGTCATAATTATTGTGTACTTGTTGTCTTATGAATTCGTATAAATTGTTGCGTTTGTTGGAGTAAATTTCATTTGGAAGAACTGTTGACTTAATGAAATGGGAGCGGGTGGTACGCCTACCACGAGACTTAATGAAATGGGAGCGGGTGGTACGCCTACCACGAGATTTAATGAAATGGGAGCGGGTGGTACGCTTACCACGAGACTTAATGAAATGGGAGCGGGTGGTACGCCTACCACGAGATTTAATTAAATGGGAGCGGGTGGTACGCCTACCACAAAATTTAATGAAATGGGAGCGGGTGGTACGCCTACCACGAGATTCAATAAAATCGGATCGGGTTGCACGCCTGCAACGAGATATGTACTGATAGTGAAATCTGCTTTTATTTCCCTTATCCGTGTTAGAGTTAAATTATTGATATTATTTATTATTTTCTCGAAATTTTGTATTATCTGCTATCCCCAAAGCATGTTCCCCTCCCATTTAAAACAATGTTTGTTCTTGTTATTTTCCCGTTATAGATATATATATATATATATAACTGTACAGGTTTATGTGGTAGTCCTGTCTAGCCTCGTCACTACTTCGCCGAGGTTAGGCTAGGCACTTACCAACACATGGGGTCGGTTGTGCTGATACTACACTCTGTGCTCTTTTGCACAGATCCAGACACCGGACAGTAGTGGTAGATCGGGAGCCAGCCTCCAGTCCTCCGAGACGCCGAGGTAGCCTTGCAGGCGTCCGCAGGCCCGGTGTCTCCTCTGTCTTTATTTATGATCTGTTATCTCTTGTATTCAAGACTGACAGTGTTACTCTCTTTCAAACGGTTGTATGTAG